TTCCGCACTTTGGCTGGAACATGGGAACGACGTTTTCTGATTTACACATAGCACGAGGAATAACTAATTCCAAAATTGGTGATGAATATATCGTAATCCAGTAGTAAATAACTATTCAAAATTGATATTAAAAACTGATAAACATGTGCGTAAGAATACGTCGGCCACGACGTTTTCGATCCCATTAAAGTAGCAGATTTTTGTTAGCACTCGTGAAACACAGTAAAAATATTTGGAATCGCATCAGGAATACCGGTCAGATGGTATGCCAAGTAAATGATTCAAGGGTTTGTTTAATAAGCGCTCAAATATTGGCTTTCTAAGTTAGACAGAAATATACTAACGAAGTTTGTCAGCTGATGTTACTGCAGGCCTCGGCATGTGGTCTTGAAAGACGCCAAGGCCACCGTGTTCGATCTAAATCGATTATGATGCGCTAACATCCACGAATATGAAGAAGACCGGAGAAGATGAAGCGCCACCGTGCACTAGATAGGCCGATAAAGGTATGTTGTCGTTTGCGTGGATTAAAGGCAGCGCATGTCTCAGGCGTTTCTTTTGCCTGTTACAGTTACGTGAATTATGAAAAAACAAACAAAGGACTAATGGTAATATGGACAAAGCGGGTTGTGGTGGTAGAAGAAAATTGGTGAGAGAGCATACCATTCCGCATGGCTGACGGGCACGCCGTGAAAGGGGGCAGAGTGTTAGAACTTACTGCAACAGAATGGATGAACTGAATCAGCAGGATTCACTCCGCTATATTGCAGGTAGAGTTTTTGTCATATTGGAGAAGTGGCTGCCTGAGTAAGTTTATAGTAGAATTTCTAAGAAGTGTAAATTATTTAGTTTCAGACATCTGGCTGTTTCAACTTTAGTGCCAGGAACTGATAATTGGTGAGTATGTGCTCAAGATAGTTGGTCTGTCATGATGTTTTGGCACCATCACATTGAGCTGCGAAGAATTGTCAAGATGCATAAATTTTGGAAGGTGCAGGGGATCCACGATTCCCCAAGATTTGTTTCTGATGCTGTTTACATTAATTCACCAACATGTGTTTTGTTATGCTTTTTATAAAGTCAAGGTCAACCCTGGCTTGAATTAGTTTCACTTTCGAAACTTGACTTCTCTTCACGTGGCTGACGTGATTAAAGCTCCCTACACGAGCTCTTGTCATGTTCTTGTATTAGCCTGGGGTGGTCAGTTCTAGCTTCAGCTAGGGATCTGGTACCGTTATTCAAGTGGTTTCGTCTTTGTTACAGGCAAACGTAACAGAATGATAACCGCTCAGATGATTCATGTATCACAAAATTCAATTTCATATGATTAAGAAATATTGTGGATGTGGGTACTTAAATTAGATGCCATAAATCGTTCCATAGCTAGATCGAACACCAATATTTCGTCAAAGAATGTGCTTTAGGAAGTGTGAAGATTTTATAGAAAATAAGATAAGATCTGTGTTGAAGAGACAACATTCTGTTGTAGGAAGACCCCAATTGTTGTTTGGAAACAATCTGTGCATTTTTTGCCTAATTGCAGCCTTCTTTCTGGTACGAAAGTCCTTTATCATTCCTGCTATCGTATTTAGATAAGATATAAATGATTATGCTGTGGTTGAATGCGGTATGAACGTACGTAGTAACCCACCAAATTAAAAAGACTACGCAAGATGCGAAGTGCTTCTGTTACTAGATATTTCTGTTTCGTTTCCTACTATTAAATTAAGAATTTAGAGTCATTTAAACGTGATGTCAACAAAAAGCACATTTATATAAACTGCCTATAATTTCATAGGCTCTAATGCAGTTAAAGACTAGTCGTAAGTCCAGCAAGTTTCACCAGTGGAGTAATCTTCAAGTGTTCAGCTTTTATTTGAAGTAGAACTGGGACGTCAGATACATTTTTAGAATTAATGAAGCATACATTTCGTGGAAGATTCAGGATTGATCAATCGCCCTGTTTGCTGCCAAAATAGAGAAGTTGCTAAATGTCTTCTTTTTGGCACATTGATTATGCAAGATCGACAATTTTGAACTTCCTGCAATAATTCTGGATTAGAGTTGATTAGGCCAGCCACAAAGTTTAGCAGCAACGTCTATCGCTAGGTGTGCAGAGGTATGCCCTTTTATGAAGGACAAAACGGTATTTTTTGGACCCAAAAATAAGATTTTTTGCACCAAATACACTTGGAAATCTGAATTTTACGAGGAAAACTATTGAATTCTGTTTTTGTGTCCTAGGCATTGACAAACGGCCAGCATTAATTCATATTTATAATATAAAGCATTGCAAAGTGCCACAGTGTCCTCTGATGTATAATAACTTTAAAAAATACCATTTTTAGATAAAGTAAGGAGCAGATATGCTAGAAACGTTTTCTATTTGACGTGTACCAATTATTTCCCATTAAAGTAGCCTGCTAGAGTCTAAACAATATTTTTGTTGAATTAAGATATAGTAAACTAATATTTCAGCAGTATATTCATAAGAACGCACTAAAGCAAATTTTCCTAATGTAATTGATTGGACTATTGCAATGCATCTTTCAAGCTACATTAGACAATTCAACTAAAATTAATGAACTATAAACAACTCGACAAAATCGAAATGCCTATATTGCAAAATCTCAAACATTGCAGATCTTTATGAGAAACCGGTTCCTTTTTGAATTTTCATTTTACTAATATGAAGAATACAAGTACAAGAAAGCATTCCTTACTGACGACTAAGCTGCTGGCCTTTTTATTAAACAATCCAAGCCCTCAATATAGAAGATTGGCTGCTCTCGGATGGAGTAAATATATATCTGCGAACCATTTCAGCACATTATCGCCATGCAGGAATTGTAGCATACCCGAACCCCAGTATATATTTGATTAGTACTGCGGTTCGTGTAAAGCTAGAATTACACATAAAGAGAGAAAAATGGCCATGATTGGAGTGGTTCAATATGTCTGCGCCCTGCTTACATAGCAACACTTGTGTACGCTTCGACCCCATGGTATGTTCAGGAAGAGAGCAAGGCAAAGATGGAGTCGTTTAATAAAGTCTGAAGCAAGTCACAATCTGGTTGGTCGTAAGGGGAAAATAAAGATCTTTATTTACCCTTGGCCTGGTCATCCTTTTCTCCCGCTAATCCTTTCGCCGGCGCTGTAATTGAGACGCCCAACTCGTGAGCGGATTGGCTCTTAGTCTCCGGCGCGTCACATGACGTCTTTACCAAGCCGTGTTGATTACCTTCGAACAATGACTATATGCCAGGATGGCGATTATCTGCCGTTCCGATAGACTTGGTGTAGAATATATGTAGGAAGAAGACTGGTACAACAGATAATGGTTTATTGACCTGTTACAAGCCAGAACCACACGTCAAACGCCATCCAGTCGATTCCGCCGCGTTGGCCACGCAGGCGGTTATATATTGTTTCTCACACGTATCTGTCTCTGGTTAGCTGGTTATCTTTCTCACATGCCATTGGACAGCACAGGGACAGAACATTGGCTGAGGCCAGCGTGATTTAAT